GCGCTGAGCGGCTATGTGCAGCAGCACCCGAAGAGTAGTCATCTTCGGGGTGGGAGAGAAGGTCTGAAAGTAGTCAACTCCCTGCCGCTGACTGAAGCCACGAGCAACGTACCGTGCCTTGAAGACAGGTGGAGAGCCCGGCGGCCGCTTCACCCTGAAGATCCACATGCCACTGACGATGTTCGCCCCAGGAGGGGGAACCGCGTCAACGTAGGTGCCTGTGGACTTCCAGGAAGCCATCTCTGCATCCATAGCTGCCTGCCACTGAGAGGAGTAGGGACCCTCTACGGCCTCCGCGTAAGAACGCGGAGTCGGGATGTCTAGTGCATCCGGGTCTCTCTCAGGGGCAAGCAGTACAGACGCGAGATGAGGTGAAGCAGCCGCTAGACACTGTAACTCCTCCTGCCTGTCCTCTAGGACGTCCGTGCCAAGAGCACACTCACCCCCGACGGACGGAGGACAGACAGACGCAGACTCAGCCACAAGACTAGCAGCGTAGTCGAGACGACAGCGAGCAGCAAAGTCGACGAGCTCAGCGACTAGAGCAGACGCAGCAGTGGACTCAAAAGAGGGGTCAGTGACGACAGTAGCAAGCAGACGCGTGACAGTAGGACTGGCAGCACGAAGAGAGTCCGACTCAGGGTCGGCAAGCGCAGGAAGAGAGGACTCAGGAGGAGAAGGCAAAGGGGCACGCAGAGGAGCAGTGGACGGACGCAAAGACATCCGGTGCGTGCCAGGGACAGGAGGAGGACGCTGACGCGAACTGCGACCACTAGCGCGAGTAGCACGAACAGGCGACGCGGGACGAGACGCAGGCTCACGACGCTCAGCAAGACCTCCAGTAGGACCAGTGTAAGGAGAGGGAGCAGGCAGTGGAGAGGAAGGCTCCAGCAGGGACTGCGACTGGACAGGCGGTGAACCCTCTACTAGAGGAGAAAGACCAAGAACCTGCTGCAGGAGCGGAACGAAGTAAGGCCGAGGCCGCGCGGCAGCTCCAGACTCAGCAGGGACAGCACCAGCACCCTCAGCGACAGCACTAGCGCCACCCACACCTCCAGCGGCAGGACCAACAGCAGTAGGCTCAGCACCAACGCCCTCAGCAGCTCCAGCTCTAGGAGGACCCGCAGGTCCAGCAGCTCCGGGACCGGCAGCACCCGCACCCTCGACGGTCGAAGAAGCTCCAGCTCTAGCTCCAGCAGCACCTCCAGACTCAGCAGCACGCCTCCAGCGGCGAGCGAACCACTCGCGCAGCTCCTGTGGAGAGAGGGGCTCCCGGCGAGACGCAGCAGCAGGAGAAACCCCAGGCTCAGCAGCTCCAGACGAAGCACCCCCAGGCTCAGCAGCTCCCAGCTCAGCACCCCCAGGCTCAGCAGCTCCCGACCTAGCACCCCGAGACCCAGCACCTCCAGGCACAGCACCCCCCGGCTCAGCACCCCCAGGCTCCGCACCCTCCGCAGTAGCACCCCCAGGCCCAGCACCCCCAGCAGTAGCACCCCCAGGCTCAGCACCCCCGCGCACAGCACCCCCAGAGTCAGCACCCCCAGGCTCAGCACCCGCAGCAGCACCAGAGTCACCAGTAACCTCGACCGGGTCAACGGCGTCTACCTGGGACACACCCGAGGGGGCAGGAACCTGAGGGGGGAGGGGGTCTACCGGGGGGGGAACCGGCACAAGGAAGTCCGGGGGAGGGGGGAGGGAAGGAGTGCGGTAGGGGAAGAGACGGTAGAAGGGGACTGACTCGTCGAACGTGACGTCCTGGGAGGACATAACACGACGAGAGGAGGGGTGGTAAAACTGCCACCCTGGGGCGTCAGAGGGGAAGCCAAGGAAGACACAGGGAGCAGCACGAGGGGACAGCTTGTCCGCAGACAAGTCGCGGACAAACGCCCGAGATCCCCAGACACGGAACACAGACGCATCGCCAACCTTCCCCGTCCACAGCAAGGCTGGGGACATCGCAGGCCGAGAGACCCGGGGGTGAAGGTTGAGCTGATGCGCCGCGTACCTCACCGCAAACGGCCACAGAAAATGGGGGGCAGCCGCATGCATCATGGACGTACGAGCGACATCCATGACCATGCCAATGCGGCGCTCAGCAATCCCATTTTGCTGTGGTGAGTCCGGTAGCGTGAAGGTCTGGCGAATCCCCCGTGCACGACAGTAGTCCCGCAGAAGGCGAGAAGAGAACTCTCCGCCTCTGTCAGAGTGCAGACGCAGAACAGGAAAGTCCGAGCCGAAGCTCTTCCTGAGCTGGAGACAAGCCTCGCGGATCCAGTCGATCAGCACCTCAGTGACTGCACCCTTGCTGCGCAAGGGGAGGACTGTGGTGTAACGCGAGTAGTCGTCAACCACCAACAGGAAGTAGCGCTCGTGACCCTGCCCACGGACGGGAGCTGGGCCCCACACATCCATGTGAAGCGTCTGCAGGGGAGCCTCTGTCGGGGGGAAGTGGGAGGAGTGAGGAGTAGCCCGGAGGCGACCCTCGACACAGGGGACACAGGAAGGTCCTGGCCCGGAGGGGAGAGGAGGGAGAGACTGGGGAAGACCAGAGACAAGGACACGGGAAGCCATGCTCCGAAGACGGGGCAAGGAGGGGTGGCCAAGACGGTGGTGCCACAGGAGAGTCTCGTGAGACAGGAGGCGACAAGAACAGGGGGCAGACTCAGGACCTGACCGGGACGCAGCAGCAAGCACCTGACCCGACGCAGCCACCTGATCAGACGCAGGGACAGGAGGAGACTCAACGGTCAGGGTGTAGAGACTCGACCCCGGCCGACGCGAGAACGTGGCCAGGTGTCGGCCTGTGCGTGCCTCCGTGCAGTGGGTCACCCGCTGACTCGCAGGAGTGAACTGGTGAACCCCCACATCCTGCAGGTCCGCTCCACTCACCAAGTTCGTAGAGAACGAGGGAAGGTACAGACCAGACAGGGTGCCCGAAGGGGCAGCCGGACACGGGAGGACAGTGGAGAAGTGAGACAGGACAGGACCCCCAGAGGGGTCAGCAAGGGAGACCGCAACCGGGCGGCCGAGCGGCGTAAGGGTAGTGCGGTCTCGAAAGAAGGAGCGAGAAGCCCCGGAGTCAAGTGTGAAAGTGAGGGAGGACGAGGACGACGCAGTACCTGAGAGCGCAGTCTCACCAGTACCTGAGAGCACAGACGCACTGGCACCTAGAGCAGCAGCCTCACAAGCACCTAGCGCAGCAGTACCAATGCCCGGGTCGGGCTGGAAACACCGGTAACCCTCATTCTCCTCACTTTAATCCACGGCATACATAGCAGCAAGGATAGCATCAAAATCAAGATCAAAGATCGCTACACCAGCCCTGAGAAGCTCATCCTAGCGAGGGATCTCACTAGCCCCAGGGAACTGCTGACGCCAAGCGTCCGTCAGGCGGCCAAAGCAGCGCTGGGTGGCGTGGGCACCCCCACACTGCTCACCCGCGCGGTCGCCGGAACGAAGAACGTAGGTGCAGGGACCAGTACCCCCACCCCTCTGACGCCCAGCGTACCACTCACGAAGCTGCTGAGGCGGAGGGATGTCTCGCGAGCGCTGCTGCTGCTGCCGCTGCGAGCGCTGGCCACCACCACCGCCGCTACGGTGCTGGGTACCACCCCGACCAGCTCCACCTCCTCCACCACCACCGCCTCCTCCGCTGCCGCCTCCACCGCCTCCACCTCCGCCGCCTCCACCTCCGCCGCTGCCTCCACCACCACCGCTGGCACCACCACCACCGTCTCCGCCGCTGTTGCCACCACCACCACCACCCCCGCCACTAGTCCCGCCGCCACCCCCACTCCCTCCGCCGCCACCGCCGCCACCGCCACCGCCCCCTCCAGCTCCAACACTGCTGATGTGTTCACCAAGGCACTCGCGCCTTGTGACCATCACCGCTTTTGCACCCAGCTGGGTCTTGTACCTGTCTTGCCTCACTTGCTCTCCTCTTGACTTCACTTGTACTGTGACATATATATATACCTGTTCTTGCTTGTCTAGTTTTATATATATGTCTGTACTCCTGCATGTGAACCGGCCTCTGGCCCTGCTCTTGTGCTCGGACTGTGTGGTGACTTTGTGATCCACCCTGAGCTTGCTTTGCTTTGTTTTGCTTGACTGGTCTTGTGACCCCTTGTTCTCCCCCACTTAGCCTATGGGGGTGTGTCAGAGTATTATAGCTGATGCATGTTTGTAGGCTATAGTGGGGTAGCACATATGGGGTACAGCTTTCTAGGGTTGTATTTGTACCCAACTCTGACTTAGTCATTCTCATTCCTGTTCACTTGTTTCACACGGACTACGCTGTCCTCAACTTCTTGTCACACGGTTTGCCGCGTTGATCAGTGTCGCAGGACAAACGGGCAGAAAATACAAAATAAATTAGGTTTAAGGCCGGAATGAAGACAACATTTTCTGTTTTACACTGTAAGCGAGATTAATGAGATGGCATCGTCGGAGCTCGCGGGGAGCCGCGCGACAGGATGTAGACGCAAGAGAGGTCAAGATAACCAGACAAACACAATTGCTAGTACTATATATTGAATAAAAAATTCCTTTCGTTTTATTTTCTCTTGTTGTTCTGACAGGTTCAATTTGCGTCCTCTGATTGGCTGCAGAACTGATTCGCGCAATGATTCAGTCAAGATGCAAGATTTCCCGCCAAAAATGGGACTGTAGAGGAGGGGATATACCTAGGACTTATGTGAAAGATCTACTCGTTGAGGAAATGGGACTCTTTTAGGAAAGGCCTCTAAGCCAGAACATCTGTACTTGCACCAGCTCGGTACAGGCCCACTGACCGCCTCACGTTGCGCACCCCAACACGTCACGCTCCTCTGTGCGTGTTCACATTGAAGCACAATTCCTTGGAGACCATCCACCTTAATCTGCACACATTTTGTCTGAGTAAAAAACCCACACTCTACACACTAACGAATCACAACACCATAAAGAGTGATTGGAAAATCAGTTCCAATCACTCTTCCACCCCAACACCGAGGCTCGAAATGGCTCGTCTTTACCACCGAGCTCAGCTGCCCCTGCATATCAAGCGCGCCATATGCGCGCACCACGTCGAACACCCCCAGCTGCGCCACGTTGACCTCGCACGATGGTGCTTCACTCGTTTCGGAATCCGCCCCGACCGCTCAACCATCGAGCGCGTCCTGAAAAGTGCTGACCGTTGGGCTATCGATGACACCAATGACAACGCCGTGCGTGTGCGCGGCGGCGCGTATCCGGAGCTTGAGCGCGCCATGGCACAGTGGATAGCCAGGGCGGGGCCAGCTGGGGTGCCTCTCACCCTTGCGACTATTCGGGACCATGTCGCCTACATGGCCCGCGAGAACGGTCTGTCGGCTACGTTTCGTTGCTCCATCGGCTGGGTGCGTCGCGCATTACGCCGCCAGGGCGTGAGATGCTTGAGCGCGGTTGGCGAGGCGGCCGACCAGGACATGACGGCCGTGCGCACCACGCAGGAGAAGCTGCCGCAGCTCCTTATGCATTTGAACGTGAGGCCACGCGACACCTTCAATTTTGACGAGACGGCCCTCGACATTTCCGTTCTGCCGCGAAAGACCTACGGCACGGGCCGTGTTGCGGGCAGGAAGAATGGCAAAGAGAGGCTCACGATCGGCTTCCTCGTCAACGCTGACGGCTCTACCTTGTTCCGCCCTCTCGTGATCTCCAAGGCCCGGCGCCCGCACGACTTCCGCCCCGACTACGACCCGGAGGAGTTGTGCTACTGGCGCAACACTGCCAAGGGGTGGATGACTACCGCGGTAAGTTCCGTCGTGGAGGCCGCTATTGTTGAAAGCCGCATTCACACCCTGCCCGAGTTATACACTCTCACTGAATCTTTATGTCACACTCATTACTGTTCACCATCACCCACCTTCCCCCCCGCAGCTCTTCACGCACTACATCGAGCAGCTGGATGCAGCTATGTTTGCGGAGAGGTGGCAGATCGTGATACTGCTCGACAATGCCAGCAGTCACACGCTCACGTCCCGAGGTGCCATCACCGAGGACCTCTTCGGCTTCCGCACCCGCAAGCTCGAAAATGTGCGACTCGTCTACCTGCCGCCTAACACTACTTGCTTCACCCAGCCCCTTGACCAGGGCCTGATTGCAATGGCGAAGGCGCGTTATCGCGCACATTGGCTGCGGAAGTTCACTGGCATGTGGGCTGCCAAAGGCGCCACCTCCGCAGCGGCTCGTTTCAGGCCGAACCTCCGAGACGTGATCGCGTGGCTGAGCGATGCCTGGATGAATATCCCGCCGCGCATCATCCAGAGGTGCTGGTGGCGCACGGGATGCCTCCCGCACGCCTGGGCCATGGAGTTGGCGCATGTGGGGGCGGGCGCTATCCGCGAACCTGGCACCGTGGCCGACATCGGCCTTGTTGAGGAGGTCAACGACGTCGGCCTCCTCATCGACCGGCTCTGCCTCGGATCCAGCGCGATGGCGGCGCACGATTTCGTCGGTTTCGACGACAACTAGCCCACTTGCGCGGAGCCGGGTGATGATCTGCTCGCAGCGGAGCCGGTGCCGGCCCCTTCGCATGATACGTGGGCGCCTCCCTCGACCATGCAGGAGGTTTACGATGACGCTGGCCCTGCGTCCCGCGAATTGAGGCGCACTGCTCGCGCGGCATGCGAGATGCTCATCGGTTACGCCAAGGCGACCTGCACCACCCCGCGGGACTTGTGCGCCATCTTCGACATTCGCAACCCGATCATCCGGGCGCGGATGGAGCGCGCCAGCCCGCCGCTAAACCTCAACGCGACCCCGCCCCCCGCCATGATGACTGCCTCCACCCCGGAGGCAGAGACCCCCCGTCCCCGTGGTAGGGTCCTCCCGGCGTGGATGACGGTGCCTACGGCTGACTGGGTGGCACAGACTGCTCGCCGCTAGGAGCTCATCGAGGCGGGTTTCCCGGCCGTCATGAGCGGCTACGTCGCCGCCGCAGAATGGATGCGGATGTGAGGCAATTTGTGCCTCTCGCGAGGTGGTGAGAGACTGGCTCCTCCCCTCTTTGTGCACGACTTGTGCACAATTTGATGTTGTGAATGTGTTCTCATATGATGTCGGGCAGGTGCACAGGTGGGATGTTGTGATTGGCAGGGTATTTGGATGTACTTGTTTGTGAGAAGGGGAGTAGGGAAATGTAATCGGGTCTGATAGTGAATGCGCGAAAAATGGGTAACCGTGTGATTACACAAACAACAAAGGTTGCAAACCGGCAGTGTTGGGCTAAAAACAAACCTGTTACAACCCGAGTTGTGTATACGCACCCTTTACCCGTGGCGAAACTGTGCGAACCCGTCGAAGTGACGGAATCGTTTATAAGTGCGGGAGACCTGCCAAAGTTGGGGGACTCTAGCGGGCATCAGCTGTACGATGGTTCCAGGAAACCGTTTCCCCCAGCAAAGTGACACACCACTGATCCGCTGCATGGTGCATGGCCGAGAGCTTACGCTATGCGAGGGATCAGTAATGCGGCCAATCATATGCGTCTGGTCGAATGGACTGGCCAATCATATGATTTTTTGAAGGTGCTATTCACCTTCAACCTGACTTCTTCGAATTTTACACCCCTTCCGCGCCATCACATATAACCCCCATAATGCCAGCCGAACAAGGCTGCCCGTTTTTTTTTAAGTTGCACTGCATGCGTGGTTGACTTCGAGGATCTTACGAGCCGGCGTTTTTTTGAGGCCGGTTAAAAATGCTCACACGCCCTTAACGCCAGCCGAAATGGGCCAAGGTTCCAAGGTTCCGCAAGGGTCACTACACAAACTACTCGTTACAGTAGGAACACGCAAACTTTGCCTTGGTACTAATTGGAGTGGCCACATCATTTTGCTTGTCTTCGCCTAGATCTGATGCTTCTTCAACTAAATGTGCCTTATCTCATGCTGTACCATGAATAATCACAGGACCTTACTTGAAACTGAAATCAATCAAGAGCAATCTCTAAACTACATGGTGTGAACATAAGTAGAGTCTCAAGAAAACAGCCTTTGATGTGGTAAATCCCAGTTACTGGAATATTTTACTCACCCAGTTCCGTCGCTTGTTGAGCGATTTTTCTGCCCACTTGAAGCTATGGGTGCATAAGCAATGTGCTTTCAAATAATTTTGCCGTTAAATTGTGCATATGTCACTTGTTATGCTAATGAAAAATGGCCCAGCCCTCGTTTGGGCGAAGCTGACATCGCAGTCGGTTATGCGTGTGGTGTAGCCGGCTGTCCGCGGACCACGCCTAATGTCTGCGCGGGACCCCTGCGAAGCTGCCGACGATGGGAAGTCGGCGGCCGGCTCGTGCACGACAAGGCGATTTGTCAACCTGCAGGAACGTCGACTTCGTAGGACTTCGGGTGGTACCGACCTGAGCGATCAACAAGCACCTACACTAGTTTGAGGGTTTACCCGGTCGACCGAGTTACCTGGTCAACGAGGTTCCACAGAGGTGTGTGATCGTTGTGAAGGTTGTTGTGGCGAAGTCGACCAACGTGAGAGCACGTGGTCGACACACCTCGTTGACTACAACCGTACGCATGTGGCCAACTTGGCATCTGGGTGATGTGTGTGACGGTGCACGTAGTGCTTAACGGTTCATTAACACATGCGAAGTATGTGCACGCATGTCTTGTCACCTTCGGTTGCAATGCTGGCAGGCCGCCATGCTGCAGTATTGGCAAGCCCCCCTTGCCGCACTGACAGTCGACTCGCCTGACAGCTATGCGGCTTGCATCTGATGTGGTCATTGTAGCCATTACAAATTTATTAACTTTTGCTAGTGAAACTCTTGATGTTCTACCTCGAAAACGTGCACGTGTTAGAGAACACAAGGAACGCTCGATCATTTGTACCACCTGTGCCTTTCTTCTAGTCTAGCTTCCACCGGTATAGAGTGACTCTCTGCATGGTGTGGTGAGTGTGGACGCGCTCGCAAAATATTTTCATATTAGTAGCCGGCTGTGAAAGATAAAAGTAGACTTAGGAGCCATAGCTAGGAAAGCCCTAGCTAGGCACGAAAGTGTTTAGACAGAAGAGGGTTGCACTAGCAAGAATGAGGATACAAATAGAAAACCCTAGAAGGGTTGTACTCGCTATAGAGCACCCCACTACAGGCTAGAGCATAACATTCTGACACACCCCCATAGCCAAAGTGGGGTGTAATCAGCAGAGCAAGCAAAGCAGAACAAGCTCAGGGTGGATCACAATATCACCACACATTCTGAGCACAAGTTCAAGAAGCAATAGTTTAAAGTTCACAATTATGAGCAAAGCTAGTGGTAGTCACAACGGGCAAGTGAGGAGGAGGAGGGACAGTGAGAGGAGAGGAGATAGGAGGCGACGGCTGAAGCTGCAAACATACGGGCAACAGGAGGCACACTGGCACAGCGGCTACCGGAACAACGCTCCGGACTACTGGAGTAACTGGCCCCACGGCTAAAGTAGCGGCAGACGAGCAACGGACCCATGGGCGACTGGCACAGGTGGCTGCAGCTGGGCTACCGGAGCAACTCCCCGGACTACAGGTGCTGCTGGCGACACGACGGCAACCTCCGTTCAGCTTCCCCAAACAGTCCACCCCCCTTGACACACACCCGCTGCTACACCCCTAGCTCCACTCCCCCTTCACCCCCCCTTAGTACCACTCCAACGGCTCCAAGAGGTCCCCCCCCCCTCGACGGCAGCTGCAGCACAGGGAGACGGAGGAGGAGGAGGAGCAGGGAACGGCACACAGAAGCTGCACCCCCAGACCCCCCACCCCCAAACCCTAATCCAGGAGAACGGGCAGTAGGAGGGGTGGGGCGCCATAAGAAGCACGGGGGACAGCGGGGAGGGCAGGGGCAGCGAGGAACGGGCCGCCCACGGGCCTGGGACATCCTCCCGAACCGCGCGCAAGCGTTCCGAGCCGCGCGCGGGCCTGGCGCCGCCCGTACGGGCTGCGCGCGGGCCTGGCGCAGCCCGTACGGGCCACGCGCAGGCCGTACGGGCCGCGCGCAGGCCACGACGGGCGATGGGGGGCGACGCGTGGGTCCCCGTCGCCCGTCGCAGCGCCTCCCGGGAGCGACGCGCTGCGTGACGGGGCAAAAACCCGGCGCGCGCCTCGGGGAGCACGGCGGGCAGAGAACCGCCGCGCGCCTCGGGACGCATGCGGGCAGAAAACCGCCGCGTGCCTCGGGGCGCACGGCGGGCAGAAAACCGCCGCACGCTCCGAGCGCGCGGCGGGATGAAAACCCTAAACTCGACGCCCCGCACCACGGGGCGCGCGGCGGACAGGGAGTAGCAGTAGCAGTGGAAGCAGTGAAGTGGGGCCCACAGGCCAGGAGCATGTAGCTCTGATTCCATGTGAAAGATAGGAGTAGACTTAGGAGCCATAGCTAGGAAAGCCCTAGCTAGGCACGAAAGTGTTTAGGGAAAAGAGGGTTGCACTAGCAAGAATGAGGACACAAATAGAAAACCCTAGAAGGGTTGTACTCACTATATAGCACCCCACTACAGGCTAGAGCATAACATTCTGACACCGACTTACCCCATGACGAATTCGTTGCTAGCCCGGCAGCACATGTAGTCCATGGCACCTACCCCGTCAGAGGCTAAAGGTGTAGAGGATAGATTGGGTACACGTGAAGCTGATGTTAAGAGACGCCACGGTGTTGGCGAGTTCAGCAAGGCTCTCTTAGAGGTGCAACTCCTAGGCACTTGTGGGCAAAGGGCGTACGAGCACCCTTTCCGACATGGAGCGGATGGTGCGTCCACCTCCCCCCAACCGGCGCGCAACAAAGACGGCGTCGACGACGAGGTCGACAGCAGTAACTATGTCAACAGCGAAGGAGGCACGCGGGTAGTGTGTGGAGTGAACCTGACCGCCGACGATGATGTCGGCGGGATGCAGGCACAAGTACAGTGGTCGACCGCGGCTGCAAGCAGCTCGCGTAGCGACGTCGGCAGATGGCATTGTTCTCCTTAGCGAAGTAGAGTAGAGTCGGGCCGACGTTGGCGACTCACGTGTCAGCGCGCGGGATCGCGCCAGCCTATGGCTAATTTAATTTCTCGTCAGACAATATCGCAGTGCCCAAGCTGTTGAAGGTCGGCACGACCTCATCACGTGGACAGAGTCGATAGAGCCATAGCTGGAGATCGCCGGGCTGAAGTCTTTCGCCGTGGAGACGCCGACGTGGAGACGCCGGACTAGGCCAATGTCGAAGTCCGGGCGGTGTTTTGCATCGCTCACCAGTTGACCTTCATGGTTATCTCGCGATGCTGCTTGCCGATGGTGCAGGTCACCTTGAAGGCATGCCAGCTTTGACTGAATGCCGGCCACAGATGTCGACATACAAGTCAAACAACGACCTATACATCAGCCAGCTGGAGGAGAAGCTGACCCACATCTGCATGGGCGAGCAGTAGTAAGCGACGCACGTCGTCAAGGGACTCCCGATCGTCTACAACCTGATGGCCGGATGCTCGCGATGCTCGGTGTGCGTGACTCGCTCAACGAGGACACGTTGACAAGTCACATAATCAAGGACGAGGCGATGCAGGAGGCCGAGCGGCCCATGGAGCTCCTTCTGCAAATAAACTACACTGCCCAAACAAAGCAGTTGTGTCAGCAGGGGCAGTGCGGGAAGCAGAAAAGATGTGGTAGCGGAGTACGCCGACCGATTGAAGTTGGCTCGAGACAAGGAGGTGGTTGACGGCGGGAGTGCTGGATCTGCGATGACCCGGACCGCTGTCAGAACATTATAGCTTATATATATTTGTGTAGGCTATAGTGGGGTATCCCATAGGGGGTACAACCCAATCAGGGTTTCCTATATGTACTCACTTCATTCATAGTTGATTCATTCTCGTTCTATTTTTCTCATGGTATCGAGCAGGTTCCCCTGTGGGAACTG